ATTTCGTTGGGGAGCTACCAGACAGGCTGCATTAATAACCCTGGTTGGATAATTAATAACATTGCAATTTATATTGATTTGAGTAACGCGACATAATAAACAAAGTATGGGCTAAAATAAAAGCAATTAATTTAATGACCCCAAAACAGCGCAGGCTAGTTGTTATAAATTAGTCGCTGTATCCAGCGCACGTTGTTCTACCGATGAAGGGTCATGTTTTTGCAATGAAGCAGTCGTTTGTTTTTGCGCCGGTTAATTGGCTGAAAGTCAGCCTAAGCTGACGTGGTCCTTTATAATTCAATACCACTCTCTATCCGTCACAACGTAAATAATAAAATTTTCTTTTACGGGTTAAATGATGTACGTCATTTTGACGGCATCCGCTGTCATATTTAGTCTATTACGTTTACGTTTTGCAAAATTAATTATGAATGGGTTTTGGATTTACTAAAGTTACGCTGTTTATCAACTCCCCACAATTTTCACTTACGTATTACCTCTCTTTCTTAATTTACATAAATATTACATTACTTTATAAGGACATAAAGTGTTACTTTTTGTGGCAAGTCTTCTTGAAGAAATATTAAAAAATTTCAAAATTGGTGCAATAAAAAAGCGTCTAAAATGATTCAGAAAATGTTTTTTGGTGTATTTCTTAGAAGTCACCACCGTCAGAAAAAGGACCAATAAGATTCTTTAAAAGTGATAAAAATTGCGTTTTAAGAGTTAAAAGTTAAGAGTTAAAAAATTTACTATTCCCCTCATTACTTTATGGACCAATCAGATTTCAGAAAACAAGTGGTTTTTTCAGTTTTGCAGCGATAAAACTACTATTTAGGTGACTACTTCCCTCGTCTTAATTTCCACCAATCACAAACGCGCAATTTTGAATTACAAATGGTTTCTAGGTGAAAAAACTGTGTGACAGCACCTGTCAGCAGTTTTTTCGAGTTTACCCGCGGCAAAACTTGTACCATAAATAATTAAGTTTGTAGTATTTAGTGATTAAATAAACTACCTATGTTTCAGTTTTTAATACCTACATATTTATTATAATAAATATGTAGGTATTAATTTGAAAACTACGTATGCATGTATATGCAGAATAACTGTTACTCATGAAATAGGCTTGTCAAATACCATTCGGGCAACTAATTTTTCCTATGAAAAAAATCGAAAAAACACAATGCTAAGTAATATTTTTTAATAAAATGCATTCGTGCAGGTGCAAAAATCCTCGTCTTCGACTCGGATTTTTTTTGCCACCAGCACTTATGCTTCTTTTTAAAATATTACTTAGCAACGTTTTTTTTCGATTTTTTTTCGGAAAAATTAGATGCCCTGTTAGTATGTTACTAGGTAACCTTCTTTATCTCTGGTAACCACATAAATAAAGTAAACGTTCAAAAACATAACAGACAGATTATTAATAATTATTATTATTAAAAACAATTAAATTACAAATCAATCAAACAGGTGCAGTACTGTTTTGACTTTAGCTAAATCTGGCGTTTCTACTGAACGCTTAATTAAAGTAACTAGCATGTTAATGCAAAATCTATAAATCCTCACTTATAATTGGATGATAAGTATCATTCAATTTTAATTTCCAATTTGCCAATAATCAAATTTCAGAATCCAAGAGTAATGAAACTTTTTATAACAATTTTGTTTGTAAAATATATATATATTTTTTAATAGTTATAGTTTTTAATAGTTATTTATTCATATCTTCCCATAATACACTCGAGATCAATGATTAACCTAATAATTTTTTTAAAATTTATCTTAAACCTTTTTGCCATAAAAAAATTAAGGGACATTGGAAAAATCGCGATTTTTTCTCGACTATTTTTAAGGCAAAAAGATTTTCGACTAAAAAAAATTATCCGGTTAAAATTTACTCCCGATAAAATTAGTACCTAATATCAAGCATATAGTGGATATCTTCAAATTCATAAATCTACGGGCATTTAATACAAACTCATTAATAAAAAAATCCCCAAGTCAACACCTTCACAAATTTTCTTTTCACCGTATTCATTGGCGGGCCAAACATTGAATAAGAATTCGCCCCTATCAATCACAGGTCTGTGCAGGAAGTAGGCGATGCATTGACAGCACCCTCTTCTTCCTGCCGAGGTTAGAAATGAAACCCCAATCAGCTTCAATTACCATACCCGACCGCAACTAGATATGGGGGATAATTTTAAGTTGCTTTTCCAACGCGTGGGCGCTTTTCACGTTTTGCGCGCCAAACTACCAGTAATTTCGTTTACATGTCTGACGCGCTGATAATTTTCCAGGGACGCATGCTAACTTAATTTTATCGAGCAGAAGGAAATTTTGGATTGCCCGACAGAATTTGTTTAGCAATAATATTAGTTTAATTTTATTTCAATTTTTTTTCATGAATAACATGACAGAATAAATTTTTGTGGTTATTATTGTGCATTTTTCTTCTTAAAATTTTTCAATCAAATTTAGTAAAGGGTCGTTTAGATTTTGGTAAAAAAAATCGCTAATATGAATTCTTAAAAATTTACTCTTAAAAACTGAGAGTAGGCCTTGAATTTTGTACAAATATGGTGTTTTTTGCTCCAAAAATACAGTTTATCAAGAAATATATCGTGTATACACTAAAACAAATCCGGTTAAAATCGCACAATAAATAAAGATTTGACAGGGGTGAGTCGCAAACAAATTGGTCACACTGTATATATAGTTAACCTCTGACTGGGACATATGTGCTTGTTTTTAAACATGAAGATCAGTAGTTCCTATATATATATAACTCGCTAACTGTCAATATCCTGCTAGATTAAAACAAACCTTAACAGGACATATCACTGCTCTTATTATTCAAGATTCATGATGTTCGTTTTTGTGTGAGAAAAACGTTTTTGATATTTTTACTTCTTCCCCACAAGATTATCCCATACATGAAAATTTGAAAAATATACCACCATTAGCTTTGACTTATTAAGATAATTTTTTAACACTCGTAACGAATATGATACTCCATTTAATTTATAACATCAGAGATCTGTGTGTACACATCAATCTAGATGTTCATCAATATTCAATCCAAGAAATTTAGTTTCAGATGTAAAATATAGTCTATTTTGGTTTACTTTGTACTTTTAAAAAAATAGTACAGTATGTTTTTTCAACGTTAATAATAAGTCTGTTCATATTAAAATACCTTTCAGTAGCATTCATCAAGCTTCCAATCTCTACCAGTACAACTGGATAGGTCCGTCCCTTTTCCAGCAAGTTTGTATCATTTTCAAAACTGACCATTGCTTGATTTTCACCAGAACCAATACTTTTAACATCGTGTATGTATATCAGGAACAAAAATGGTCCTATAGTGCTTCCCTGTGGGATCCCTAGCCCAACATGTTGCGTCTCAGAGACAAAGCCTCTGCCATCCTTAATCAATTTTACTCTTTGGCTCCTACCTGTCAAAAAGAACTGTATCCACCTTAGCTCACAGCCTCTCACTCCATACCTTTCAACTTCTTATAAAGTATAATACTACTATGATATAATCATGATTTAGGCAATCATACGCCTTTGACAAATCAATAAATAATCCCAAAGATGACCTACCTTTAAGGTAGCTGTGCTGATTATTGTTTAACAGCTTGTTTTTGTAAAAAAAAGTTTACTAATCTAGTACACATGGAAGTCTAAGATTTTGGAAAAGGAATTTATTGGTCTGTAGTTCATTAAGTTCGGATCACCTTTTTTGAATATTCGGCTTACAACAGCAGTCTTCAGTTGCTCAGGGAAGACACCATACTCCAGTCAGTTATCTACCACATATGCTAAGGGTTTACAGATTTCAATAATGCAATCCCGAACGACAGCAGTTGTACCTCATCAGCACCACTGCTTAACTTAGATCTTAGATTTTGTCTAATATAACATTTAAATTCTATACTTTGGATATCTTAATCAGGTTAGGGGTCTACAAAAAGGTTTGTTGAATTATTGATATAGGATTTTGTTATTAAATCTACAAAATGTATGTTATAATTACAAACTACTTATTCAATTAGTTAACAGATTACAGTTGGTTGTAAACTTAACATAAAGTTATGTGGACTTGGATTAAAATAAAATCTGGTTAATATTTGGTTAAACTTAAATATTTTTTACTGTGTAGCATCGTTACGAAAGAGTAAACCTACATTTAAAAACAGTAAAATCCTAAAATTCATGAAGTCGTATCTGGCAAAACATCCGCATTCAGCATCTGGTCGATAGTAAATCTTAGTAATTTTCTCCGCTCAATTCCAGTGGTGTCCGTCGAAGAATTTCAATAAGGCGAAAGCAATGCACCGGGTGGCGCGTCTGCTTGAACGTAAGTGAGCTGCGGAATGATTTCGGGCATTAGCCGATCCCATCCCCAGTAAGCCGTGGCCATTGTCCAGCCGATGCCGGACTTCCATGGCCAACGTTAGACGGAAGATTATGTCGAATCATTTGGCTAATACGATTAAGTTGTTGAAAAATGTTTGATGTATGGGATTACAGAGTTTTCTGGCGTGACAAGATAATGTTTCTTTACTTTGTTCACGTTTACTCTGCCATGCTGCTCGGAATGAGCCCGATAAATGCCATTTTATTAATAAAAGCGGATTACATATGAGAAGGTTAATCAAACATTGGTTTTTTTCTCTTATTTTATCAGTAAAAGGTTTAGGTCAAAATAGTTGTCAGTTAAAATTTATTGTATTCTAATACAAATTAATATTTTGGAAAAATAGTAAGAAAATTTATGGAATGAAATGGATTAGTTCAAAAAAGGAATGGTTAATTTAACTTTATTAATTTAGTTGACCCATATTTATTTAAATCAACTGTGGGAAGGTTAGCAAAAACAAATATTAGTTTGACGGTACTAAACCTTGAGCTTAGCACAAAAAGCCTTACTTCTTAACCTAATGACAAAAATAACTATTAAGGTAAAAAAATATTTGTCTCATTACCTTTCCCACTCCTGTAATTTCCTTAACCCCGATTCTTCTAAGCAAAGCTGGTGGTACTGAAGGTGGAGATCTCTGTAAGGAACCGCAAAATCCTGTGTTATTTTCATCTTCAGAATTGTACCTCTTTCTCCGGTGTGGAGATGAAAGGTTCAGTTTTTGAGCAGCTCTATAACAATAAAAAAGTTACTCACATACTATATTTCAAAAAAAGGTAATAAATATACATAATATTATTATTAAATTGTATAAAAAAATCATACAACTTTTTTCTAATTAAATATGATTGTAATTATTTTAAATTAGGATTTTATAGTAACTTTCTTAAAAACATTAAACATTCATGTGAAGGAAATAAAACCGAATATAACATTTTAATTTCATTTTATTGCAGTTTTAACACACGTAAACTGCCTTGTCGGTGTTGATTTAAAATGAAAAATTGCGAAGAAAGTCGCATTTATATTTTTGAATATAAGGTAATATTATCCGGACTGCCGATGATGGTTGCAAGTATCTGTAAAATTGAAATACTTTATTCTCATATATCTGAATATTGCATTACATCTGGTGATGCAGGCGTATAAAATGTATATAGGTATATTAATTTATTTTAGAATAGAGTTTTGTGGAAATGTAGATATTTAATTTCAGACAAAAAACGGCGCATTCACCATTATTGCAACTTTTTTAATTTTCATTTATATATTGCATATTTATTAAATGATGATTTTGTATCAAAATATCAAAACGAACAAATTTAATTTGCCCTTTTTGCATAGTAATAATAACAAACATAAATTTTGATTATGAAGTGTTGAAAATTAGGTATCCAAATCATTAATTATTTAAACTATAATCAATAATTAAACAGATAAAGTTTGTTAAATAAAACATTAATAATAACAATACTAGTAATAAATTTATAGAATACAACATATAATTTTATGTGAATTACATTTGGTGAATAAACAAATGCACGTAATAAAATTGTACCAACCTAACAAAATTATGAGGGAATATTTTACAGCTTTTGTTTACGTAAAATTAAAACATTTATTATGTATTAAAATAACATAGATAACAATTTACTGGATAATAAAAAAGTTTCATGTTTATTATTTTTCATATAATAGACGTATACCTACAGTTTTATTAAAAATTGTTTATTAAAGCCGGGATTTATATTTGATAGTTTAATCCATGCTGTTATAAAGGATCATAACTATTAATTATTAAATTTACTGGTTTAATCCATTATCAATTTATTTGAATTTAGTTGCTAATAACTCTTCTTAGTGCAGTGCATTGATTTTATACACAGTGCAACAGCAAAAAAAATGATTTTTGTTGGTTTATGGCAATGGAAATTTTAGCATAAAATTATAAATAAAATTTGTTATATCTTTTATGTTAATTCATTCTATTTGTTAAAAATAATATGTTTTTAATTATTAATATAATAATAATAATAATAATAATTACCATAATTATTATTATGGTAGAAGCGAAAGAACTAAGAAATTGCACTACAACATATTAAATCCAGAAAAAGGTTAATTTTTTTTGAAAAATTGCATTTTATTGTTCTAATTATTTTTTTAATTGAGTATTTTTTTCTTTATTTGATTGTTATTACTTTATAAAACAATATACAAAACCAATAATTATCTGTTATGTACTAATTATTTATTATTTTACGATATTTCGGGATCCAGAATTACTAAAACTTTAAATTGATATAAAAAAAACCAGAATCAATGTAAACATTCTGTAAACGCTATAATTTATGATTTTGATTGTAGAAACCGAAAATACTTTCAGAGCCCCATCATCTTAATTTTTTTCCGAAAATGTTTTACAGTTTTATTAGGGTGAAAACTATGAATTATTATTATTATAATTATTATTCTTCAAAAATGCAACCAAGGGCGAAGTATTAATAAATTTTATCTCTTCGTATATAAACAAGATTTTTTTCTGGAATGATTTATTTTCGCAATTACGAGCTACCAGGACGGTATCAAGAACAAATATGTACTGTATGTAGGTACTTTTATCGATATTGTTACACACGCACAGATACAAAAAGATATTTTCAAAACACGTATAAAGGCAATTTCTTAATCAGAACATATAATTTATTACCCAGCTTTTTGTACACCAGGGCCGTTTTTACTTATTTTTGCCTTTGCTCAGGTTACATGCCTCAGACACCATAAAATATTCTTAATGTCAACGAATCTTGACAAATGGCACTCCTACCGGCAGTAATCCTCACGCGGAATGTGTTTTTTTGTTATGGAATAATATATTTCATGCTTCTTAAACAAACATAACATATTTTTTGGGTTTTTTAGTTTTCTGCCCTTAAACAAAAGTTTACATAAAACCAATTTTTTTTAAATTTATTATCGTACAGGTTTTTATGTCACTAAGTGACCTTTTAAACACACATTGACAAGTTGTGGTCTTACGGCGTTTTAGTCACGGGCTGAACTTAGCAACAGGTTCTTAGTCACGGGCTGAAGTTAGTTTTAAGTTAGTTGACAGTTGTCAAATGCCATACAATCGTTAAAATAAAGTGCCTTTCTTGTAAAATAACACTAAATGTGAAAATTAAAGAAGTATTAAATAGTTTTTTATAGATGTCGCTTTATAGAAATATTTAGTTTAAATCAAGTATTTTTAAGAACTTTTCTACACTTAGAAAAATGTACATGCATTGTTAATGAAACTAATTTTGTAAGCGATTAATAAAATAATATTAAATTAAATTTAAAATTGTAATGGCTATAAAAAATGTACCACCTAAATTTTTAGTGTTTTATTGGGACAAAAATCTACGATTTGTCAAAGTAATGAGATTATTTTTATTTACAGAATAAACTTTTTTTACTGTTAATAAAATTCTAATTTACTATAATGAAGCAGCAATGTTGAGCTTTTATAAAAAAAATGTTCATCCAACAAAGTAATAGTTGTTATCATATTGTTATGGCAATAAGAAATACTTTATGTTATATTAAATCTTTGTCGAACTTAAAATGTTAAATCTAGTTGTGTGTGAATTGCGCTTACATAAAGTAATGCGCAGTTGTTATAGTAAAATTTGTTCATTTTACTATGGCATTATAGTCTTTTTTAAATTACTATCGTTGTAATTCAAATTAATTTTATTTCAGTTAGAAAATCTTTGTTAATAGCTTACGTTAAGAACAATAAAAATTATTACTATAAAAAGACTTCTTTAATATTTACTATTGTTTTGCAATGGTAACAAAATTTTTGTTATTTCCCTTAAAAAGAGGGGGAAAGGGCCAGCGCTCTCCTTGGTGAACATAAATTTATAATCCACAGTCTGTGTTATAATCTTATTGATTTCACTTGTGCGAGTGAAGTGTGGTAAAATCTAGCATGATAAAAATATCAAAAAGATCACTAAGAAAATTAAAATTTCGACGTTTTCTAAAAGTTAAGGTCTATTCTATAAACTAAGTAGACTCTTTGTTCAAAAAGTGAGTCCATATTTTTTTTAGTTTGAACATCATATAAAATGAGATAATTTTTTTGTTATAATAAATAATTTGCTTTAAGTAATGCCTTGCAATTATTAAAAAAAAAAAAACTACCCACAGTAGGTTAAAAATGTGACCATTGTTGCAATGAAACTATTTTTTTGAATTAACAATTAATTTGTTTTTAAATTTACATAAATTTTATTAATATTACAAAAAAGTTTTATTTTAAACGAAAAGGGACTTTTTTACAAAAAGTTTTTGTAAACGGTATGGAACTGTTTTTTTGGACAAATAATAATAACTATATTTATCAATGCGTTTCTGCATCTGGAAGAGTAAAGTCTTAAAGCAGCGTTTGTAGATAAATAATTTTATAAAAATGATCATTTTGACGTATCTTTACTTTATTAATACAAACTACTTTTTTTGTTATATTTATTAAAAAAAGTTCTTAGGCACTCATTTAATTAAGCACTCGCTCGCAAGCTCACTCTTGCCCAAATTAAATTCTTTCTTTATAAATTTTAGAACAAAATTGTTTTATTTCACTTATGTTGACAAGAGTTAATATGTATATTGGCAACATTTTGTGACGGTAAAGTAGGCATGCTATTTTTGTCCCTAAATATAGATTAATCGAAACAAAAACACATCGACCGATTCAATTAGTATCCAGCTTTTGACACGTGGTGTTTAAAATGCACCCTTCCAGTCCCGAAAATGTGCATTAACAAAGCCAAAGCAATAACAAAGCGAATGTGGTAAAACGGCAATATTTTGACAGGACCGCGGCGGATTACGTATGGCCGTCACGGATACAACGCAGCGAGAATCCTCGTTTTTTGGGGGGCGATGGGGGGGAGCGGGGGGAAGGAGTGTTGTACTTCCCGGTCACGTGAAAGACTTCGTTCGTTCCGGAACCAGGAGACTGTGAAATTGGAAAATCTCCAAAATACTTTTGCTTTTACCACCTTCTTCTAGTTTTCTCCTCGGCAACTTTTCTGGCCCGATGAGACTTACTCAGTCACGCTAATTATTTATCGATTACTCAACGTTTGACTCGGAATAATGATCTAGTTTTCAAAATACCGTCACAGTAGAAGTCAGACAAAAATAAACCGTTGCAGTTTTCTTTTTAACACAAAAAACTAGAAATAAGTTCGTACTTATCTGTTTTTTAAGAGGTACCAGTTTCCAGATAGTTGGGAGCAACATTATTAGTTATCAAGGCTTAGTCTTGATTGAACATAGGTAAAAATGTCTGAACTATTTACTTAAATAAACTTGGATAATATTTCTAGTTGATGTAAAGCTTCAAAGACGTTAAAGAAATCGCAAAATCAATATATATAACTTTGAATCGTAATTTGGCAGATAGAAAAATATGAGATTTTCTTTCATATACTTCAGGTTTGTCTAGTTCTAACGTAGGTATAAAATATTATATGAATCGTGTAAAATGTGGAAAATAACATACAAAATTGGAGTTTTATGTACAGGGTGTTCAAACATTTGGAAAACTTGAAATTGATTCAAGAAAGAAGACTTTTTTGAACATTCTTATAGAAAAAAATGTTTTTAATTAAAAACGAAGTTTGAATACAAAAATTTCTACAAAAATAATAAAGTTGATTTTTTAGGATCGAAT